ACAAAAAAAAATAAATTTAACTTTAAAAATTCATTTTGTTCAGTCAAATTGTAAAAAAAAAACATCATGAATAACAATTAGCATATTGTGTGATTAAGTAATTGAAAAAAAAAAGTACTAAATAAATTATAGTTGAACAAGGCTGACAAGATGGAAAAAAAAAATTTTCTATCACAAAATAATGGTTCTCATCCCATTCCTAAAGAAAAAAAAAAATAGGAGTGGGAAATAGGGGCWCTGGATCCCACATTACCACAAAAAAAAAAATGAATCTCATAATATTGTGTAGAAATATTTGAAATACTGCAAAAAAAAAACAGAATCTCTCAGTATGCCAGATATACCTTTTACTATAATACAAAAAAAAAACGTGGATCATCATTTTTGTGGTTGTGCTTGTTTTTCTGGCTGGTCTTTGCTCAAATTTTCAATTATACCAAAATATTTTGCTTGATTTCTGCAAAAAAAAAGGCTGAAATTGTCTTGCAAGGTGCCCTAGGACTCATTGAATAAAAAAAAAATTCATGGAATCAATAACTCGGCTATTTTGTAGAATTACATACAAAAAAAAACTCACTCTTTTTAATCCAAAGACATATTGTAGTGTTTTTTTTAAAAAAAAAACACTTAACTAGTCTCCTTTGCAGCCTACCCAACCTTGTTAAAAAAAAAAAGAAGCCCTGGGAACGAGGTTGTAGGCTACCCCTAGGCCGGCTTCCTTCCTGGAGGCCCAACAAAAAGGTAGGCTGCAAAAGAGACTTACAATTAAAAAAAAAAATAAATTAAACACATTTATATACATCCAATAGTCTAGTTCAAAAAAAAAATTATTAATGCTGAATTATTAGCTACATGAAAGACAAAATAATAAAAAAAAACATTATATTTACATGTACCTTGACTGATGAAATGGATTTGTTAAAAAAAAAAGGAGGAATAGTTAATTGTATTATACTAGACTGTATTACTTAAAAAAAAAAACTGTACTTAATCCAAAGATAAAGATATGGATTTGATATGTTAAAAAAAAAATTGAAATCTCTATAAAAATTAATATAGTTTGCAGCTTTATTAAAAAAAAATAAGTCTGTATATTTCATTGTAAAATAAGATTCAAATTAATGAAAAAAAAAAAAAATCTATCAAAGAACTGAAAAATTTCCTACCAATAAAATAAAAAAAAAAATCTTGAATAATCATTAATACAAACAAAAAAAATCCAAAAACTATATTTTTACTGATGTACATGTAACATAATTTCTAAACGTTTTTGTATTAAAAAAAAATTGTTCATGTAAAAGAAAAAGAGAACCTTTTCCACTGCGATAAAAAAAAAAACAGCATAATCCTTATTAGATTTTAGCCTGTTACAGGTGCTTAAAAAAAAATTAAAAAAAAATGTTTTCAGAGATAATGGTGAATGTAAATTGTCAAATGGATATGCAAAATGCAGGTTACTAGTGCTTTATCATCTCCTAAATAAAAAAAAATAATCAAGTAAATTATTTACAAATAATAGATTTGATCCAAATAGGCCTTAGTGCATAAAAAACTGTCACAGTTTTGCTTTGGCTACACACAGGAAAAAAAAACYTTAGGTTAGGTGATTACTGTATTTGACAATATCTATTTGCCATCCTTTCTGAAAACCTTTTTTAAACAAAAGGAAATGCCTACAGTCCACTAAAAAAAAAATTTTTTATTAAAGTATGTTAACGTTAAATTAATGATGAACTAAAAAAAAATTATGCCAGACCTATCATCAAATGTTTGTATAGCCTTTGCATTAGCCTAAAATGTACTTATATTTATTCTCAGTAGCAGCTGTGCTCTTACAAAAAAAAAAATAAATTTAGATAAAATAATTTGACTGAAAAAGCCAAAATAAAAAAAAAAAACAAAGCATTCCTCTTGTTGAAAGCTCACCAATGTTTCTTTGAAAAAAAAAACTATATCATCACCTGCCATTTAATGATTTAATATATTTCTATAAAAAAAAATGTTTATGGTTTTACACTGTTGTTGCTCTGCCTGGATCTTCAAAAAAAAAATAGGACTGCAATGGTAAAAACRGTGTAACATATATTTAAGYAAAAAAAAAATGAGGACAGCTCAAAATCTATGGTGTGAATAACTTTATTGGTAAAAAAAAACCTTGTATAGCTTGCCATCTTAAATTATCTTATTTAGGAGAAAAAAAAAAAATGTGCACAAACAATTTCTTTACTTATTAAATCAATTCAGCAAAAAAAAAATATGTACATGCAGGGTAGCTTGCCCACAAAAGGCATACAAGCAATCGATTCTGGTAGTAGTGACCATCCATCTGATGGTGGAGTATTTTGAATAGTTATTGCTATCTTACCTTAGCCACAACATCTCCATTCATATTTAAGCTGCGGTATCTCTGCATAGCTTTATCTTCCCCTTGTAATGTAACACTGTCTTTCAAAAAAAAATTTGAACAACAATAATATGTTGGCTTTTTATATTCCTATGAAAATTGATGTCCTTTATGTACTCAATTTACTCCATCTAATTCTTCCACGTCTACCTCCAAACTTTCATCCATGCACATCTACACTGTACCCACCTTCTGAATGATCAAATTTTCTCCCTGTCTTTGCAAACTGGACTATGCATCCAATAACAAAAAGAAATGGCCAAATAGCAAGTATCACATATGTTATCCAACAAGTTATTTGTCCATCACCGGCCACTATTCTGTTCCATGTGTAATATAACAGTGTGAATCCAAAAAAAAAGTAATCAATGCCACCAGCGACAAGTACTCCACCTAATGCTGAAAAAAAAAAAATATACATGGCTTTCTGGAACTTCAGTGACAAAACTCCAAAAAAAAAAAAAAGACCAAGAAGAACTCCAAATGGAACCCATTTAATATTCACAAAAAAAAAGTACTCCACAATGAAGAAGATCAAAACTCCAGTGAAAAATCCAAAAAAAAATCCACCCAGAAATAAGCCACAGTAAATGACAAAAGTGGTAAGAAAAAAAAAGAATAGCCCCACTGCCAAGGAGATGGCTATTAGTCCCCACAAAAAAAAAAAGACATGTCCATTGAGGATGATGAATGTTATGAGAGTTGCAAAAAAAAAAAACATTAGAAATAGACTGATTT